AAGTTGGAAAAGTGCAGAAGAAATTCTGGAATATTTTAGGGAAACAGCCTTCTCTCAATTATGCTAAATAGTCTGTGAACATGATCAACATAATGATCTTGTATGTTGAAGCAGAGACATATTTTTCTTTCTTTTGTGGAGTGTGCACATGCATACTAGGGGGGAAACTATGAATATGATTTGTAAAGTCTAATCCGCTAATTATCAGGACTGTGTAGTGCTTTAATATGAAGACAACCTAAAGCAGGTGGGGGTGCTCAACCCTTGGAGCAGTTACATCTTTTCCCAGTATCTGGCAGCTGCCATGTGGACCTGCAGTGCAGTGCCAGGACAAGATGGGTTTGGTTTAAGGAGTTGTGACAGGTGTTACACATGGGCCCCAAAGTCCATTTTTGCCTTCATATAGGAAGTGCTGCATGGCCCTATTAATTATGATCTTAGTAGGCAGGAAGGAAGATTTCCTTTGCTTTGGATTGTTACTAGCAATATAGAAAGTTCAGTCTTCTACAGGAAAAAAAGAGAGAGAGAGATTCCTTAGCCCTGTCTTAGTCTAATAAGCATTCAAACAGAAATTATATTAATTTTTATTTGGGGGGATAAATTTGCCAAATCACTGGAAATATACAAATCATCCTATAAAATAATTGCCTGTTTGAATCAAAGTAGGATTATACTTTACCTTGTTGAACCAGATTCTGGTTGTGTTCTTCTACAACTGGTTTGTATGACAGATGTCTTTCTTGTAAGGCCTACCTGACAGCAATCATTCTTTCCTAGTACAAAATGCTTTTCCTGGGCTGTGCAGTTCATAGCCTAGTTAAGAGTGAATTATGAGTATATAATGCTACAGTGTAGAGAACAGAAGACTGAACTTAGAGCATTGAGATCTGGGTTCAATGTCCTTTCAGCTATAAAGCTTGTTGGCTAATAACATTGTTTCAGAGATACAACCAGTGGGTATTTCTAATTTATGTCACCTTAAGCTTCACAAAACAGAGCAGGATACAAAATGTTGTTTTAATTAATATGTTATCAATGAGCATTTTAGTCCCATGCTAAATGCATTTTGTCTTTCTTCCAACACTCAGGAAGTGCTACAGTTGGAGAGACAAATGGGTGGACAGTTATTGGAGGACCCAAAGGCATTACATTTTAAGGGTAGCACTCATAACCTTCGCTTATCTATTCATGATATTACTCATTCCCTCTGGAAGAGTAAACTACTGGCAAAATATCAGGTAAGAATTGCCAAATTCTAGAAGAATTCATCAGCCCTCTTGCAATATTAAGCATCATTCAGTATTTCAAAATCAAATGGGTGCACAAGATTTCTGAAATTACTGAATACTTGATAAGGATAAAAGAATGTTTAACACCTGCTGCTACATTGTTTTGTTAAATGATTTTGTCTGCATTTTTGGTATGTGCATTGGGACTTGTATTTTAAAAATGCTCATCAAGGATCTTGATAAGGAATACAGAGTGAGCTGGCTAAGTTTTCTAAAGATACCAAACTGATAGCAATGGGATCTCTTTAAACTGGGTGAATGGTCAACTAAGTAGCATATCTATTTCATTCAAGTAAGTGTAAACTGATGCACATTGAGGCAAAAGTACCACTAACTTCATATTCACACTGAGGGGGTATGAGCTGTCTGTGAAAAAGAACTAGTGGACTACTGGTCACAGTAGATAAGTCAGATATTGGTTTAGTGTGTGGGAGCTCTAAACATCATTAGGAAAAGAATTGAAAATAAAACTTGTCAACACTGCAATGCCCTTAAAAAATAAGATACATCCAGATCTGTGTGCAGTTCTAGTCAACATATTTGAAAAAGGATATCATTAAGTTGGAAAAGTGCAGAAGAAATTCTGGAATATTTTAGGGAAAAAAAGTCAAAGTCATTGTTTGGGTGTCTTTAGCTTGGAAAAAATGATTGAAGGGGGACATGGTTGAGTGTATAAAATCATGCATGGCATGGAAAACGTGGACATAGAGACTTCTCCCTTTCTCAAACTCTAGGACCAGGGATCATCCAATGAAGCTGTTTGGGAAGAGATTTAAAACGGATTGGACCATGTATAATTAACCTGTGGAATTAATCATCACAAGATGTGACGATAGCCACTAACTTAAGTAGTTTTATAAAGAATGGTGGAAAATCTATGGAGGACAGATCTGCCAAGTGCTATTAATCTTGGCGGCTCACTGTTACCTGTTGTTTGTGAACAATTAATCTCAGACTCCTACTCACAGGTACCCCAAAGACCAGTTGAATGATATGAGAAACAAAATGTCTCTTGGCCCAGTCTAGCAGAGCTATTCTTATATTTTATGCTGAGAATAATTATTGTACAATTTAGATCCCATCATCTTTCCACAGATTCTGAGTATTATCTTTAGGTGATCTGCAGTTGACTGAGCTATGCAGTGGTTACAAAAACAGTAAAGGAATGTTAGATAGTATAGGGTAAGAAAAACCTACTCTCTATGAAATCATATACATTTTCATGTACAGACAGATAAAACAGGTACAACATATATGGAATCCATCTACCTGCCTACCCTAACTTCATTGTTGTTAATTCCAAGAATTAATATCTTTTTTATATTAAAAAAGATTATATAATGAAAGACAGCTCTTTAGGAATCTACATAAAAATGCAGTAGTAGGAATTTAATAAATGTCAGCTACATAAAACTCTTTAGTCATTTGGCATCAAATTCATCTAAGTTAGAAACCTTTTCTTGTTTAAGGCTCCCAAACTGATACCGTTTGAAAGAATTGGGATTTCAGTTCCCAGAATTCCCAGCCTATGTTTAAAATTCTGAAGCTTTAAGTTTGTTTGGGGAGTACCGTGTTAGATATATTCTTACATTACTTATGCATTTTGCATTGTAACTATTCCTCTTTTATTTCTTCTCAATCCATTCTTAACTATATTTGATCATTTGTCATACTTACCTAGTCACTTGAGAGTTACATCCAACTTGGATTTGACTGAGAAATCAGAAATTCATTTTTATTATCAGTGTTATTTCTTCTCCAGGAAATTCCCTTTTACCATATCTGGAGTGGATGTCAAAGACATTTGCATTGTACCTTCACCCTGGAAAGGTTCAGCCTGAACACGCTGGAGTTGGTATGCAAACTCTGCATACGGCAGGTTGAAGGAGAAGGACAAATATTTCAGCTAAACTGTGTGGTATCTGAGGTAAGGCAACTCTCTACTCTCTCTTTCTTTCCTAACTCGATGAATCCTCAGAGGAAGATATTGTCTAAAGACCAAAGAAATAATGGAGAAACTGAGAGTATGCAAAAGTTGTTGTTCTGACCTCCTAGTTCATATGGATTGCTGTGTGTTACAGGTGATGAAAAAAAGCCATCAAGCAACATATCAGGAAGTAGAAATACAACTTTGTCTTGGAATGCTTTTATGTAAGGAAAGGAAAGATAATACTGACAAGACAGAAAAGAGGGTTTGTCTAAGCTGAAATACAGTTGTGTATCAGTTGTTCTGTATATAGGTTCACTTTCCCCATGAAGTCTCTAGTTTTAAACATAACTGAGATGTTAAATTTAAATGCTCAGTTGGCATTTCTGATATGAAGCATTTTCTGCTATCTGTAGTCCCTCCTATACAGAGATGGCCTGGGCATTGTTATCCACATTGTGGTAACATTCAGTTTGACTTATGCAGATCTGACTGTACTCTAACATAATCAATAAAAATAATATACTCTTGAGATAACCAGGAGGCATGACTGCGGACAATCAATTTGCTTTGAGAATTTTCTTTTGGACTCACCTGAGCAGTGGAATTGGCCTTTTGGCTGCTTAGGAACATAAACTGGATAACAGCAGGGCAACTCTTATTGAAAAGGAATTTTATTTTTGAAGTGTTTTAAGTGCTGCCATCTTTGCCATTTAATCAGGAAAAAAAAGTGATTAAGTTGAAACCTTTTATCTTCATTTTCATCTCCCAGAATTAAATGCAGACCTTAAAATCACTTCCTTGGTCTTCCTTCTGCCTCATGCAGTGGCACAATTGCCATTCTCTTTCTGACTTTCACTACCCTTTTCATTTAAAAACAACTCCAATGAAAGACCTCACTGACATTAATAAGGAATGATCCTGGTGTCTCAGCACCATAGCAACCAGCCATCAGTTTCGTTCTGCTGGCCATATCTCTGAGCCACACAGCTCTACCCCTGCTGGCTTTGGATGGTGTTTTTATTTTCTGAGCCCAGCAGGTCTGTGTCATTCAATAACTGCACAACTTCAGCAACAACCGAAGGAACAGCATTTGGGGCTTGGGAAAGACACAGCAGTCCCTCTGATAAATGCTACTTCTGTCCACAAGTGCTGGTGGATAAAGAAAGAGGTGGATCAGACAGAGAAACAAATTAAAAGATGAAGAAAATCCCCCTTTTGTGAGGAATTTTTTGTCCTCAAAGAGGACAGTGGCATCAGCATAAAGACTTTATGGGAGGTTTAGTAGGGTAAAGGATGATTTATTTCATGATTCTGCTGCAGTGTGAGCTTCCATATGCAGCAGCGGATGGGAGAAATGCTGATAAGGGTTCTGTAGAGCAGATGACACCATAAATATGATAGTGCAAAGTAGTGTCTGAATTGGGAGTGGGACAGCTCCCTTATTTTCCTTCCTAGCTTATTCATGTCAAATCAAGGAGTGGTGGTAACAGCCAAATGCTATATCACAAATTTGTCACAAGTGTGTGAAGCCACCCAGGATGGCATACACGGTGGTGTGTGTGTTTTACAAAATATGTATTTAATTGTGTGAATGAAACAAATGTGCTTGGAAGTTCTTATATTTATCATATATCACATACTGGTATCCATCTGCAGTTATCTCTCTGTTAAGTGTACTTATCACAGAAATAATAAGCCACTATCCTCCAATTCATTTCACTATTGTCCCATGGATTTCATGGATTTATACCTTTAGTTAGATTTTTTTTAAATCCATTTTCTGGTCCAGTGACCAATGACCTTGGAATGTGTACTTAAATTATTAAAATTCTAATCAATGAATATAGTTCTTGAAACTCATAAAACTGAAGTCAGTGATAGTATAACTGGAACAAATCCTCTAACAAGAAAAGTCTGAGAAGAAAGTAAAAGTTGTTAAGAAATATTTAAAAGCAATAACTAACCAGATCTGATCAGAGAGGCAGTTCTAAAGTATTGGTGCAAATACTGGAAAACTTATGAAAAAGGTGGGTTTAATCAGTAACTATGATGGCACCCAAAGAATTAATTCCTCAGAAGGCCTGGATAGGTGGTAGCAAGCTTAAGATTTGGCAGGGTCAGATAACAAAGTCAGGTTTTCATCTGATCATCAACCTTATCTCCTTATTTCTGCTGAGACTCGTTTCCTTCTCAGATGCTTAAAGGAAGTCCATGGAATGACTCAGCCTTTTTTTTGGGGGGGGGGGCTTTCTGAACAATTTCTGTGCATCTGTTATTTGTTTGTTTTTTCTCCTTTCTTAATTACCCTGAAGGAGCTATTACATGTAAGTACATTAGACTAGCAGACTGGTCAAATGTGTGTGTGGCATACAAGATTGCCACATTTTTTTTTCTGTGTCTTTGTCCTAATTATATACCAAGGTTTGAGAAGGAATAAGAGCAACCATTTGCTTGATCCACAAGAACATATACTGGGGAAGGGAGGGACTTGAAGATTGAGTTTCCAGTTGGGAAAGCACAAACTTTACAGTTCCTTTCAGTTGCAACCACCATGACATACTCATTTTCACCCCAGAGAATCCACATTACATTATATAGTTGTCTTGCTGATCGAGTTCACCTTTCAAAAAGCAATAACTGATTTTCACACAATTGCAGTCATTGTAATTTATTATTGAGACAGTCCTTTCCTATTGCTACAGTGACACTTATAGGTGAAGGCCACACAACCAAATGCAATGTTAAAGTCAAGTAAGCATCAATAGTTTGTTAATGTTTGTTGAATGAAGGACCATTCAGAACAGCCATGAAAACTCAGTTAACAAAATACTGATGTTTGCTTGATGTTTGAATTAAAAAATCAAAATTTTCTGATGGATTGTACATAATTGCAAGACTATATCTGCTGACTTATTGGTTACAAACAATAACCATACCATTATGGACACGTGGTAAAAGAAATATTATAAACAATTATTACAATAAATGTCCCATTGAAATAATCCCTAATTTCAGTTGACCAAAGGATAGAAGAGTACCTAGTATCTTAAGGGGAAGAAAGTCTACAATGTGACAGCTTGCATGGGGCAAGAAGAGTTTTAATCAACCCTGGGGTGGGTGGCGCCCTGGTGACATTCCCTGAGCCTAATAATTTTTAGTTACCATCAATTATCTTGGAAGATACTTACTATTTATTTAGGATTGTTACATTGTATTTTTAATTATTATTTAACTTTCCTGTAAATCACCCAGAGTCATTTTCTAACCAGATGGGTGATGACAAACTTCATCTGGAATCTGATTACAGGAGAAGGAAGAGAGAACAAAGTCCCCACACCCACACCCACCCCATCCGCTGATGCTATGTACTAGAAATGAATAAGGGGGGGAAACCAGCTGCAGGATATTTACTGCAACAACTATGATTTACATACATGTACTAGATATTTGGAGGGAACCTTGAAAGAGTTATATAAAATCTTTTAATTTCATAGAATTTTGTACCTGTACATTTTGCCTGCTCTCTAATGAAGCCTGTTACGCACCCATGCACTCCAACCTTATCTCCCGTCACAACCCCTTTTTTTTTTTTTTTGGTTTTCCAAGTATTAGAAATAGGAATGTCACTGAAGGTCTTTGCAGCCAGATTCACAAATAAATTTGCATTTGGAAAAAGCCATTTCAGATGATATATAAGCTTTATCAGCCCTCACATTCTTTTCTGTGTTTGATTAAAATCCGAGCATAGAGAAATTCCACATGCTCTCCCCTTAGGTGTCTGCATCAAACAAGGATTGTGTCTAAATGATGACATGCCCACAGTGATGTCATGTTGCAAAGTTCACCCTTACCTGTTTGCTTTCCACCACCTGACACAAGTATGCAAGTCATTATTGTGTCATGAGGTCATGATATACAGTATATTTCAACATTTGCTCCCTTCCTCCTCTCCATGTACTCACCTGCCATGTACTCACCTATGTGGGATGGCCAAGGAAGAGGATAAAGGTATAGTTTTCCATTAACTTTGCTTTGAAGCACCTTGGGAGAAAAGGCATTTTTTTTTCAGATTTTTGAGTCACTTCCACACCATAATGCCTCTCTAGTAGTAGAGAAAATTTACTTCTGTTCCAACAAAATGCTCTGAATCGCTATTCATCCGGAAACATTGGAGCTCCATGGAGCTTGGGTCTCGGCCATTCCTACTGAACAGAGTGATTTCCAAACCGCAACTCCTGGTTCTTTAGTTACTCTGCCCTGCAACGAGAGGTTCTATAAGCAACATAGGGGCTTGATAGTTTCACATCTCCTCCTAGAAGTCAGCAGAGACAAAATTCTGGTCAGTTTCCACATTCTTATTGGCAAGAACCAGGCACTTATAAAGCACCAGTCTACCTGTGTGAGTTTCTGTCTATCTCTCCTTTGTTTTCCTTTTGTGTAACTTTGAGGTGAGGAGTGTCTTTTTGTTGTTGTTGTTGTTGTTGTTTTGTTTTTAACTTAGTGCCAGGGAAGCATTTTCACTCCTTGTTCTCAGTACTGCAAGATCAATCGTTAAGATGATTAAATGGCTTTTGAGAGATTGGAGAATGGAAATCTTGATTCAGGCTATTAAAATTAAAATTATTTTATCTCTGTAAACTCAATCTGAGTTCTGCTTTTTATATATACAGATATGATAACATTTTGGGAAATAAAGAAAGGAAAGTTAGTTAATAATCGTTTTCCAGAACCTTGGTGTATAAAATAGGTCTCATGGGTCAGTGTGATCTTGGTTAAAATAAATCTTATCACTACTGTTCAAGTTCTGGATTTCCTACTGCCTTCTTGCAGCTCATGAAATTGGTCATGTTGTTCCTAGGGAGCAAAGGGTAGGGTAGAGAAGAGCACAGTAGTGCCATATCTACCTCTGTAGTTTGTAACCCCAGCAGTGAGAATGCCTAGGACCTGACTGATAAATTCCTGTCGAGTGCCTAGAACACTTGTATATGGAATGACCCAGTCAAATCTATTAAATAGACAGATTTTAGAGTACAGGAAAGCAGTGAATTAGTTGAAGGCATGGAAAGGAAGGGGTAATGGAAAAGGACTTCAGAAGTATTAAATAATTGACAAAATGTCAAAATCAGGGGGTTGGGAGTGACTTTTGGCCCCAATTTTTACAATAATGCAATGGTATTTTCTCTACCCACTTAGGAACCAATGGTCCCTTTGAGTCCTTTGCAGAGTAGAACATGTTAGAAAACCAGAGAATGAATTTCTCTTTGCAAGCTTGACTTTTTGATTTGCCCCCTTTAAAGTCCACACAGTATAACACAGCAGCCTGGCACCATTAGATTCATACCTCCTATTTGGCAAAGTCAGTACCACCTCCATGACGTATTTGACTGAGAGGGTGCCAAACATTTTTCAACCAGTGAAACTCGTCCTTCTTCTCTTCCACGAATTTTAGTCTAAATAGGACTGTGGGACCGGTCTTTATAGTTATAGCATCTATACAAGCTCACCCCTTTTCTATGCCCCTGAAGTTCTTGCCTTAGCCAGCTTGGAAAAACCTCCCTAGAAACACTAGTATATAGAATACAGTCTGTGAGCAATCATTTTGGTCCAACCACATCCACATTTGTCAGGCTACATTTCACTATACAGGTGAAAACTATTTACATGCTCAGACCCTGGCTATAACACTGACAAGGTTTAGCACGATTTTGTTTGTTAAAATGTGTTCCAGAGCACTGCTGTACTCAAGCCTGCTAGATGAAATATAATGAAACTGACATTTAAAGCAGATTCCTTTTTATTATTTTCGTAGTTTACCAACAACATAACCTTTGCTTTGCTATAGATAGAAGATCCTGAAACAATACGTTTTTATTGGTTTCATCTACTTTAAATGTCACCTAGGGTTTTCTTGGAAATGTGTGTGTGTGTGTGTGTGTACTATATATGTATTACCACGATACAGATTTTTGATAACATGCCTCTGCTTCTACCAGGCCTATACATAATCTTTTTTTTCCAGGCAGTGTGGTACTTTTCTCAGGAAAAGAAGCAAAGATCAGGGACATAGGGCTGTGTGATGGTGGTGGTGGTATCATTTGGATTTCTGGTTTCTCAATATATTTTAGTCAATGGACTTCAAAAGTTCATTTCATTATGACAGTTCCTCTTGCAAATTTTTTCTTCTTCTTTTAAAAGACTCATGGAAATTGTATATCTTTCATGGGGGATTCATATGGGCAAGAACTGTCTGTAAAGCCAAGGTGAAGATAGTAGTATTTCAGCTTAAAAATTTTAGGCTCTTCTTTCATAAAAATATTTTGCAAAAGCTTCAATGGACTTTTTAAATCCATAATAAAGTATTTACATACATATTCTGTCTGAAGTGCAATCTGACGTGGCTTTTTCTCCCTCTTGTTGATCCTTACTGCAACTTTTGTTGTGGGGAAAAATGGGTGATTCCTAGGAATGATAAATATGATAAATAAATAAACAAACAAATAAATAAAGGAATTGTTCAATAATAAGTCAGAGGATTCATCTGTCTGGTTCAGGACCGTGGCAACGGCTGGCATTAGCTTTGTAGAGTTAAAGGGAGGGGCTTTGCCAACCCTACCTGTAAAACCAGAAATAGAACCTTGGGTCTTTTACATGCATCATTGTCAGTATCAGCATCTTTTTCTGTTTTTATCCCACCTTTTTGTCCAGAGGTCATTACCTAAGGACATTACAGTGTAGCAACACATGCAATGATTTGCATTGAAGGATAATCCACTAAAGGATGGTGAAACTAGAGCAAGTCATTCCTGGCATATTAATTATAAACTGCAACTTAGAAAGTTAAAGTCCTACTATATATAAGATCTACATATCAGATCTGTAAAGCAGAGAAGAGGATGTAGTATCCAATTTATTTCAGATATTCTTTTAAATAGAAAAAGTAAGTAAGTAAATAGGAAGCTGGTATATGAAAGCAAAGTACCAACTTTGTTTCATTCATTCATTGTTACAGGAATGCCCTATGATTGTTCCACTGGGATGGTAATCAGTATTCATTGTCAAAGCCACCAGGTTGTAGAGGACTGTATGATTGTGTGTCAGGCAGTTTCCCAAAATTAAGACTATGCTTAATTTATTAAGTTATTATGGAACTATATAGAGGAAGTTGCAACAGACAGTGGTAGAATTCCTTCGACGGTATGGCTCAAATGAGGAATATCAGGGTATTAGTAATTTTAAAAGTATTATTTACTTTAAAATATTTTATGTTGCCTTTCTAGTAAAAGGTAGTAGAAAGGCAATATAAAAGTAACTTTTAGTAGAACTTCCAAAGATCCATAACCATTACATTACATCTAGTGTAACCCCAAAGGCCTATATTTCACAGATTGCTTCTCTATTAATCTAATACTGTCCCCCTGCTTATCGTGTTGCCATGTTTTCTACTTTTCTTATATGCAGGAACCTACTGGCATTGAATATCCACTTATGGACCCAGCAAGTACCATCACAACCATAGTAGGACCCTGTGCATTCAGCATCCCTCTTCCAATCCGCCAGAAGCTTTGCAGTAGCCTAGATGCTCCTCAAACAAGAGGCCATGACTGGAGGATGTTGGCCCACAAACTAAAATTGGACAGGTAAGCAAGCACATTATCAGCATAAATTTGGCATTAGTTAAGATACATTGACATATGTGTAGCAGTGCATTAGTCATCTTTCTGAAATTAGGAGAGTTACCATTGAAATCTGCTCTTCAAAGAGATCCTTTCAAAGAAGTTTGTAGCCATGTGTGGGAGAAGGTTTCATGGTGGGATTTGGTCTTATGGGAGCAATTGTGTCACCCATCAATGGGGAACCCATCCAAATTGTAGCTGAGGACTTGATATATCAAATGATCAAAGCTTTTCATTCAAAACATCTGTTAAAATATAGCCCCCGGGCATTATTTTGGTATTTTTCACTTTTCTACACATTCCCATACACATGCACACACACAAAGGAAAACACACACACACACAAATAGAAAGAGCTCTGTAAAAGTTTAATTATGTTCTGTGTCCTTTAATATGTGTAGCAGGTGATAACTGAAGGCTCATTGATAGCCTCTAGTATACTTTAATTATATTGTTCTGCTGATCAGAAAAAAATAAAAATCTATGAAAAAGAACATGGTTCATTTTCTTCTTTAATATATATCACTGTTAGAGTGACCACTATTATAACAGAGCTACAGATCCAACAAAAGAACAGAACATTATTCTGTATTGCTAATAAATGACAGTTGAAGGGAAGAAGGGCACAATGTCCTTATTAACATGGTATACCTGGAGACAGCAGAAGGACATGCAGAAATAGTGCCTGTGTTCCAAGTGGTTTATTTTAGACACTTATTAATTGCAAATGCTTCTATATCCATCACTTGTATGATTTTGTCATAACACACAATGCATATTTTAATGCATTGCAATAATTTCAAAATTATCAGATACAATAATAATAAATAATATTGACATACATTCAAAATAATAATATCATAAATCCATAACATAACATCAAGCATTTATCTTAATTAGGTACATAATTCTTTATCTTCTCAGTCCCTAAATACACATCTTAAAAGCCATGTTTTTAAATCTCCCTATTAAGAGTAAAGGTGTGGTTCTTCTGTCTGGTGGGAGGGCATTCCACAGGAAAGGAGCTCCTGCAAAGACTGCTTACCTCTGAGTTCCCATTTGTCGCACCTCACAAGGGTGGGGACTCTCAACATGCACCTTCTGCAGGCATGACTTGGATGGGCATATTCAATTTGGAGCAGGAGGTCTCAAAGATAGCTGGGCCCCATTCCAGGTAGATCTTTAAAGGTGATCACCAAAATTTACCTTGGATTGCATCCAAAATCAAACTAGCATCCAATGAAGCTCCTGCAATATTGGTGTTATATGACATTACCAGGTTTCCCAATTAACATGCAGACCATTGTATTTTGTACCATTTGCAGTTTCTGAGTGGTCTTCAAGACCAGTCTACTTATGAGGTGACAAGGGCATGAGTAACTGAGCCAGCTCATTTTGTTCTAAGTACAGTTGCAATTGGCACACTAGCCAAAATGTGGCATAGGTCCTCTTAGCCACTGCATCCATCTGCTCTTCCAGCAGAAGATGAGAGTCCAGAAGCAGCCCCAGACTGTACACCGGTCTCAAGCTAAAGTAGATATTGTCCCAGCCTCCAAAACTATCTTGCTAGGGTTGAGTCTTAATTTTTTTCTGTCCATCCAGCTTCCAGGCAGCAGGACAAGATTTCAGCTGCATCACCCAGGCAGCCTGGGATAGTGATCTACAGCCTGCATATTAAACTGTCAGATGAATTTCCCCAGCAGCTTTGTGTAATATTACATAAGATGGGAGGGAGGATAAAGCCATTAGACACCCCAAACTAGAATGCCAAAGGGCTCCACCTGTCCTCACCTGTGCACACTGGGAAACTCTGCAAGTGCCATTATGAAACCCTACTGGATCCATCAGATGCCTGAGGTGGACTAAACTAATTGGCTCCATCCCTCTGCAAAGTTTGTACTCCATAGTCATGAGAAAGTAATCTGCCCATAACAAGGGCATAGTTCTTATATCCCCCCTATCAGATCACTTCAAGTGCCCCGAGGTATAAATAAAGTCTAATGTGTGCTCCTGGTGTGTGTTAGGCCAGCAATGACTTGGGATGAGCCCTTGGTTGTCGTGGTGGTCATGAAATCTTGAGCCGCCTGAGAACCCACATTAGAGATGATAAGCTGAACTTGCCCAGTAATATCCACCAGGCATCTCAACCACCAATCCACATCAAGGTGTGGTCAAAGGGATGCTGCTGTACAGGTGAGAAGAAGCTACACCAACAGCATGCCCATCTTGTCCTGCTACCTGTTAAACAACTATATATACCAGTCCTAGCTCATCTCTGCAGCATTTTGTTGATGCCCCCACACATACTGTGAAGTCATTGTACAGCAACCCCTGGCAATGATATTGATAAGGTAACCCACCTACTATAGTCTCCAATCTCTGATGAGATTAGAAGCCATGCCTAATAATTTGGGGACTGCTCACCTCTGATCTGTTTACATGGAGCAAAGTGTAAGACTAGCGAAGAGCGCAGTTTTAATAGCAGCCACTTTCTCACTGCAGGTACCTCAATTATTTTGCTACAAAATCAAGCCCCACCGGTGTGATCTTAGACCTTTGGGAAGCCCAAAACTTTCCCGATGGAAATCTGAGCATGCTGGCCACGGTCCTTGAAGAGATGGGAAGACACGAGACAGTTGTTTCACTGGCAGCAGAAGGAAAGTACTGAACTGACCTTGGAATGAGAAAGAAGGAATGTTCACCATGTCAGCTGTGACTAACACAAACCAAGCACCCCAAACCAATGTATTTCATAGCAAGAGGCATTCCAGAGGGACAAGACACAAAATCCTGCCTTTTCACATGCATTCTTTTTGTATATTATCACGGGATTTGAAAGAAATCATGCAAAGTTGTTACCTTTATAATCTAATTCAACCTAACATTCCTCTCAGCTTGGCTGTACTCTGCTTAGTGCAGGATTTTACAGTTTCCTAGGAAACGCTTTTTATTGCTATCCAGATATATGGATAAACTTTCTTAACAATCCCAGTTTCTATGAACGTTGTTTACATCAAATCCTGGGCAGCAGGATGGAAATGACTGTCCGTGGCTCTCTTTTTATATATTATTTTTCGTCTTTTGTTGAAAGCCATTCTATACCAAGCTGTGGACAAAGCAGGGTTGTGGCTATTTTCTGATAAATCAGTCTCCAACACACATTTCAGACGATTTCATGATTGCAAATTTGCCCATTAGATGTCTTAAAATAATCTTCCTATCACTATTCTGTTTCCTAGATTGAGTTAAGCCAGAATTTTAAACTTGTGCATCTGGCCAGAAAATAATCTGGAAGCTGATCAGGTATGCATGGACCCCTCCCTATGTTCCCCAAGGTAGCTTATGTCCCTTGGTGGCTTCAACTGCAGGGATTTTTTCCCCCAGCTTACAATATGCCCTGCCTCTATCTTCAGATTGTGTGTGTGTGTGTGTGTGTATCATACTCAGTTTGGTATGGTTTGAGAAAAAGAACCCTACTAGAAAGAAAAAAAAGAAAAAGAAAAAAGTTGCTTGTACAATTAACTGAATAGTATCTAGTACAAATAATATTATATTTCTTTTAGTAGTATTATTTTTGCTTACCAAAATTAGCTACAGCATTAATGATTTGAGCAATGGCAGCACCCTCCCTGGAAGCTGTTTATAGCTGCCATGGGCCTTCTGATCCCTTTAATAGGCAGATTCTTCCCCTTTCTGTCCTGGCCCTGGGGCTCCCCCCCCCTCCCCAAATTAATTTCCGTGAACTGGTGCATGAATTACTATCATACAATACACTTTCTCCTGACAAGCTTTCTTTTACAGATGGGTAATAGTGCATTCATCTTGATGAGAGAATTCAGCCTGCATTGATTATTTTATACAAACAAGATGTTTCATAAGAAATACTAGACATTAGTTTTGTTTATTTAGTAGTTCTGATACTTGCTTCCTTTTCTCTTTGCCGTAAGCCATCAAAACTTCATGCATGTCCATGGGGCCTGGATTAATTTTTGGTATGTCAATATTAACTAACAGTCTGTTCTATGCATATCACTACATACTGCTTTTCTTTTAGAGAGAGAAGTTCCTCCAGATATTGGTTTTGATCCAAAGATGGAAAAGTATTTCATGCAAGTAATTGCAAGCTTTGAAGCTAAAGGACATGATAGTTTCATTTGTGCGTTTCAGATTTATTGCTGAGGATAGAAACAAACATCTGTGCATTGTTGAGTTTAAAGTACTTGAGTTGGGTCCTTCTTTACCTGTGTGGTGGCTTGGATAGGTTTTGGTGGCCTGTTAGCAAATGAAACTGGTAATTGTTCAGGCTCGTAAGGAACTCTCGTATGTTTGTGGTTACAAAAACAGTATCACAAGATTTTGTTTCTAGACTTCCCTTTCCTTCTTCTTCCTTTCCATGTTAAAAAAGTTATTTTACCATCTTCACTTGCTTGAGATTCTATATATGTGTGTGCTTGTATATTCCTGTGAAGGTTCTCAAGTCTGCGTTTCTAAAGGTAACCATGAAAATGCCATTGGTTAGCAGAGAAGGTGAATTTTGCCTGACCTTTTCTCCATTTTTGACATTTCCACAGACTTTCATTTTCCATCCAGTGACTATGCTCTTATTAAACACAGAGCACCATTCATAAAACATTCTGTTAGAAAGTCAGACTTTCTTCTTTCAGTAATCAGAAACAGTGAATAGGTTTTTATGGAGTTCAAAGTAAATGTGAGTTTTGTTTTGTTATGAAAATGTAGTCAGCATTTGGTCATGGAGTTTCCTAGTTGGGCTTTGCAAGTAACTCTTGATCCAGCACAGTTGCCTTCCTATGTTCAGTCATCTTTTGGCTCTTCAAAAGTTAAATGCAACAACTATTGAAGTTAGATGACCTCACCCCTTATACTCCCCTTTGTAAGAATCTTCACACTTCTATATGCATTCAGCTTTGCTATCAGTCTAATGGTCCTGTCAAGCATATTCACTAATAACTGACCTATGTGATTTTTTAAAAAGTACCTACACACTGTCATCTATCATGTGAAATAAGGTAGGTCTGATACCATACAGGTGACAGAAAGAAAAGTAGGAGTCCAGAGGAGGCTGATGCAGCCCCAGTTTTCTTTCTGTGCCTAGAGATTCCATCTAGCAAACCAGAGAGATTATTAAAAGGTAAGCCATTATTTTAAAACATACACATATTTTCAGAATCATTAGCTGGTCTAATCTTTTTGTTGGACCATTATATCAGGGATTGGCAAGAAGGTGCCTATTAGATGAAGCCTCAAATAAAAAATAAAAATTGTGTTTTTCACAAGATAACCAATTCTCTCAACATCTACCATGTTTTCTTTTTAAAATGTTTGCTTTTACTTTTTTAAAAATGGTGACATCACACAAACTTTTACCCTGATACTCACTGTCTGAAAAGATCACTGATGCCTGTCATTATAGTAATCAGCTACATCCTGATATAAGGAAACAGAAGATCCCTAAGGAAAACATGCTGGATAATTACATTTCAGCAAATGTCCTGCCTAGTGATCCTTCCTTCCTTCCTTCCTTCCTTCCTTCCTTCCTTCCTTCCTTCCTTCCTTCCTTCCTTCCTTCCTTCC